AAAGTAACGAAAGTAAAAAAAAAAAAAAAAGAAAAAAAAAAAAAAAAAGAAAAAGATTTTGATTCTATTCGTAAAACGAAAGAATGAAAAGATTGAAAATGTTTATTATTGTATAGTTCGTTTTAAGTTGAAGAGCGTATCTTTACTATGGAATGTGCTCACAATAATTTTAATTTTAAATTATCCATTTTATATTACACTTAAAATTAAGGCTTAAAATTAAGTTGCGCGCGTTCCACGATGTCCATCATGACGATCCCACGATGCCCTTTGGGGCACTTTGATAAAGTGGTACGTGTAGTCCAGTCTGATTAAAATATTCAAAGGGGATTATTTGGCATAAGTCTAGACTGGACTGCAGGTACTCCGTAATTCTTAGCTTGATATTGACTTTTCAAAAAATTAATCTTTGGAAAATTTTCAAAAGAGTTATTGAATATTTTTCAAAGAATAATTTACAAAAATTGATACCAATTACTAGGTTTCACCATAGGGAGGTGACTACGCATCGAGACCCTCTTAAAGCTAAAAAATAAAAAAAAAGACATTAAAATTAATGATTAATTTCAATAAATTAGAAATATAATATAAAACATAAAATATGAATTAATGATAATAAATAATAAATTAAAATCGTATAAAACATGCAAAAAAGAAATATCACATAAAAATTAAAAGCCTGAAAAATCTGAAAAAAAGTATTAATTAAAAATACATCAAATAAAATAATTATTTAAATCTAGGATTCATGTATCAAAAATACGACCTTATTTAAAGTAAAACAAGAAAAATCTGAATTATTCCATTATATTGATATTCAAGTAATCCTTCGATTTATTGAAAGGAAATTCTGGAAATAGAAGAAAAAGAAGAAAGCAAGCGCAAAAAAATAAACGTTTCGATTATTCATTGAAGAATTTAAGAAAACTATTACGAAGCAAACACTGACTCTAATGACCGCATTACGCGCGGTTACAAAAATTTATGGAGAAAAATGGGATAGAAAATGGGATTAAGCATTTGTTTAAGAAAATACTACTATTTAAAATATTATTTGTAAATTATAAACAATTTTTTAATATTTCAAAGGGAACTTATGAATTTTATAAAATTTGAAATAATTATATTATAATTATTCTTTATTAAATTGTAATAAGACATAGTAAAATATGTCGTGTAATAAATATTCGAAATATACTTACAAAATAATCGAAATTTTGTAGTTAAATATATAATGAAATGAAATGAAAAAGAAAAAAGTATATAATATAGATAAATTACAAGAATCTGAAACATACAAAAAAAAAAAAATTAGTGTAATTTTTAGCTTGGCATCAATTTCCAAAAACAAATTTTTTTAATAAAATCTCTTTAATAAAAAAAATTGTAGTATAATTTTTCAAATCTATTTTTAAATAAATAATTTAATATGGAAACCGATATCAGGTCTCACCAAACGAGAAGGTGATCGAGAAGGTACATCGAGACCCACGTAAGAATATAATACAAATAAGAATATAATACAAATAAATTATTAAAAGTTATTTATATTATATTATAAAAAAATGAATAAATAAATCTATAAATAAAAAAAAACATATGAATTATAAAAAAATAAGAAAATGTTTAATAAATAAATAAAAAAATTAAAAAATAAGTGAAGAAATGAATGTATAAGTAAATAAAAGAATAAATGAATAAATAAATTAATAAATAAATAAATATGTAACTGCGGGAATAAATAAATAAATAAATATAAAATTAAAAAAGTAAAAATAAAAAAGAATAAATAAAAATGTATAAGTAAAATAAAAAATAAAAGTATAAATAAATAAGTATAAATAAATAAAAAAATAAATAAATAAATGAATATATAAATGGAAACGTAAATGATGGAATAAATAAATATTAATTAATAGAATAAATGTTTTAAGAATAAATGATAAAAAATTATTCTCTATATTGTTGGAATTTAATTAAAATTTATAATTTCGTTCTATCTGTCATGTCAAATTTAAGTTAAAAACTGTTCATTTTCTCGCGATCTTGTATTTATAGAGGATCGCTCTGCCGAATTTTGGCGAACATGTACGTTCTTTGCCGATTGCTTCAAAACTAATTTTTCGAAACACAGTGATCAATAATTTAATATTTTTTAGACTTTTATTGTTAATTATTATATTTTATTATTTATAGTAATAATTATATATATAATTTATATTTTTACGAACTAAATTAAAATAATAATTAGATTTATTGTTTTATTAGTTTTTAATTTATATCTGTGTTAATAAAATATTCTAATTGTTATGTTAAACGAAAAATAATTATAAAATAGTCACAAATGAATTTATATTGATAATAATTTAGCAATTTTTAAATTTTTATTGTTAATTTATTTTATAATTTATCAGAATAAGAAAAAATATAATGATTGATACACAATCTTTACTGATAGGATAAATAATAATTTTTATATCGTATTTATATTATAGTTTAAAAATTTATAAAAATTGAATAATAATAATTTACAATACTTTTTTATAGAATAATAATTTTATATTTATAACAGTTGAATATTAATTTAATAGAATTAATATTATTAGCGAATGAATGTTTAAATTTTACTTTTCATATTCTTATCAATTTTACTTAAAATTTAGTTTAAATAGTTATTGATTTATTTACTTTATTTAAAAAATAAACTAATCATCTATACTAAAAAATATGCAACTTACTGTTCGTAGATAATATATCGATAAGCTTCCCGACTTTCCATCTGTCCATAATAGATGAAATATATCGACAGTTACAAATAAAAAGCACAAATAAACATATTTTGAACTCATGAATAAAAAATATAATTAATTATAAAATTCGTACGCAATTTTAAATTATATATTAAAATTAAATACGCGTAGTTTTGACGCATCTGAATAGTACGACAGTAGAAACGAAACTAACTTTATTCTTTCTCACTTGGTAACTGTAACTCAGTACATAAGGTCACACGCATTGATATCGATAAGGAAACAATTACCTATAGATTCCAATGAATATTTTAATATATCATATTTAAATATTAAGATTTTCATTATTATATTAATTATTTATTTATTTTATGATTTATTGACGATAAAAATATGATATTATGAATGTAAAAAACGAAAATAAAATTTTGGTATTATAATTTTATATTTTTACGTCAACAATCGTAAATAATTTTACAAATTTATAAAATTAATTTTTTATAAATATATTTTCGATCGATCAATTCAATTTTTTTTGAACAATTAAAAGGTATATTAGATGATATTCCATAAAAAAAAAAAGAAAATATTTCATTTCCACCCATAAAGTAGTTTCATACTTTGATTTGCAACTTCCGCTCCTTCGAAGGCAGCACTTCCTCCTCTTTGTCATTATTCAATTAAACCAATGAATCCGCCCGAATTTATAGCTTTTTCCTTA